CTATCTATCATCTATCTATCTATCATCTATCTATCATCTATCATCTATCTATCAATATTTCTTTCTTTCTTTCTTCTTTCTTTCATCTATCTATCATCTATCTATCTATCTATCATCTATCTATCATCTATCGTCTATCAATCATATATCTATCATATTGATTATTTTCTCTGGAGAACTCTAATACATGGAAAAAATTATATAACCTTTCTAGTTAAGACAAGTTAAATAAAAAGAATATACATCTTTATGGATTATGTTTCTTGAAAGTTTTCTCCACAATGACATGTTAATTCAGTGAGATTTCAATTGATTATTGACTCAGTGTGCTTATGTGTGTGTGTGTTTCTTTTTTTTAAATCCTCACCTGAGGATATTATTTTCACTGCTTCGGTGCATAGGATGATACCCAACCAACTGAGCCACACTAGCCAGGGATGGAAAGTTTTTTAAGAGGCAAATTGGAGAAGATATTTTAAATACCAATAACAGTTTACTTGTCTCTAGAATATGTAAAACACTCCTATAAAATAGATACACAACTAAGCTTTTCAAAAAATAAAAAAATATTGAACTTTTAGAGCCTACGCTTCAAAATAGTAAAAGAAATAAATGGCTGATCAAATAAAACCACTAGAAAGAAAGGAAATCAAAATTAAAGTTATGAAATACAATTTTATAGCCATGCAGGCACATTTAAGAAGTCTACAATATCAAATGATTACAAGTATGTGCAAAAAGGACAGCATTCATACACAGCAAGAAAAGAGGAAATTAAGAAATGTGCTTTGCATAACAGGCAACTCCTAGTGCAGGGGACCAATTCCCCTTATGGATATTCATTTAGTCTAGATAAATTTATGCATGTATGATTGCTGGAAAAGCGATACAATGTTGTATGAGTCAAAACTGGGAATATCTCAATATCCGTTCCATCAAGACTAGAGTTAGCCCAGCTCAGTTGGATGGAGCATCATCCTGTCTACTAAAAGGTTGCAGGTTCGATCCCCAGTCAGGGCGCATGCAGAAGAAACTGATTGATATTTCTCTGTCACATTGATGTTTCTCTCTCTCTCTCTTTCTCTCCCCTCCCCTTCCTCTCTCTAAGCGTGTTCTTGAGTCAAGATTAAAAGAAGAAGGCTAGAATTAAAAAGTAATTCATGGTATATGTATACAGTAGTATACCAGACTAAAAATAAATGAAAAACACTTATACAGAGCAACAAAAAGAAAGCTATAAATCACAGAATGATATATACAATATGATTCAATTTATATAAAGTTTAAAACCAGACACTACCTACAAATGGGTACTTCAGAAAAGGTTTTTAAGTAATACATTATGAAAATAAAAACAATGGTTAAAAAGGAAATAAGAATAATGTTTAACTTTTGTGGAGAGAGAGGACTCAGTTTAGGAGGGCTTCTAAGTTAAGAATAATGTTGTATCTGAATTTGGATGACATGTCCCTTGGAGCTTATTTTATTAACTGTATTCTAGGTTTTATACAGTTTTGTGTGTGTATTTCCTATCATTACAGAAATAGCCATGTGAATATGACCAGCTTCCAAAAGAGTTAGGATCAGTTAAAGCTCCACTTTAGTAGCACTCATAATTCCCATTTTCAGATACATGTTTCAGAATTAAATTATACTCCGTGTTCTCCTAATGAGGATCCAGCAAGAAGCCGAATTGTATATTGATTTTATCTTTGTGTTTCATTGATCTCTCTGTTGTCAAGACTTGGAACTAATAGCTTTAGGGATAGAAGACCACAATTTGGCAAATGCAACACCTACTCAAATATCATAAATTTGGAGTTTGAAATTGAACTCAAACATTTCAAGTTTCAAATTCCATTTGTTTCCATAGAAAATTAATTTCTGGTTCAAAAGGTAAGACATATTTCTGCTAAGGCTCTATGAGCATTTAACACATTCTATTTTTAAAATATTTGACTAATTAAGTATGATGATTCTAAAACCCAAAATATTTTGTTTAAAGTTAAAATGATATCATTTGTTTTGAGAGATTTTCATTATCATTTAAAGTAAAATTATCCTTTAATTTTTAAAATATTTAAATAGTAGCATGTATCTCTCATACAACTAGATCATCTGTGATTTGATTGAGGCATGCAGTTGCCAATACCATACACATTGAGAGAGAAATATGGACATTTTAGATTACCATCTTCATTTTTAAGCTTTATCCCCTTAATCATCAAAGAACAAGAAAATACGACATGTGAAATACAAGGTGTCCCAAAAAAATGTATACATGCTTTAGGCTGATAGCTCAATTGATGTTTCTTTTCAGATTTAATTCATTGGAATAAATAATTATTCAAATTGTGTATACATTTTGGGGGATACCCTGCATATTATCACATCGTCCTAAAGAAAATTATTTTGTGATTTAATATTCAACAAAAATATTTAATTGCCAGAATACCCAATTGGACACAGAAAGTAATTGCAATTAGCAAATGATTTGAAAAAATTAAGAAAATATCAAGTCATCATCATTCTGAGGATTGCATCAAAACTAAGAAATTCAAAAGTTCCTGCTCATTTCCTATGGAAAAACTGAGTTCTAGTGATTAGATTGATCTTTCCAATATATTTATCCCTGCTTTACAAAAATTTCAGCACACTTTTAATATGCTCAAAAAAATGAGTTTTTAACAGTGACTTTCACGCTCATAAACCTGGGATATCAAGTTCTTATGAACAAATTCCACTAAGATAGACCTGTAAGGCACTCACTAGGGAAATACTTTCATGGTTATAACCTAAAGGCTGAATAAAAAAATTATAACCCAGAAGGGAAAAGGAAGGTTGGTAAAGATCAGTGAAGGAGGAGAATTGAGCAGCAGATCCAAAGTGAAAATTCAGTTTCTAAAAAATTAAGTTAGAAGACTAATCAAGGAAAATGTTTTAAGGCATACATTTATTTTAAAAATACATTTTATTGATTTCAGAGAGAGGAAGGGAGAGGGGGAGAGAGAGAGAAACATCAATGATGAGAGTCATTGATGAGCTGCCTCCTGCTGGGGGTCGAGCCCAAAACCTGGGCATGTGCCCCCACTGGGAATCCAACCGAGATCTCCTGGATCATAGGTCAATTAAGGCATATATTTTTAACAAGATAAGATTGTAGGGAAATTAATCTTGTTGGATTCTGGACACCTGAACTAAGAATGGAGCAGCTGGCTGCAACACACGGGGTCAGGATAGATATCAAATATTCTAGGGATGCATTCCTGGTGATAAAAATTAAAATTGCTCACATGTATCATGTGTGACACGTATTATTCTCAACTCTTTATCTATTAACATATTTAATTATACTACCTACTAGGTTAGCACTATTATTATCTCTACTTGACACATGAGACAACTAAAGTATAATGGAATTTAAAAACTCTCCCAAGAGCATGCCACTGCCACCAGGATTCAAACCCAACCAACCAGGCCTCAGGGTCCCTCCCTACTCTGCATACTTACTTAATCCCTTTGTTTCATTTGGGTATTTTGTTGGCAAAGAGAATTTTATTCAGTAAAAATTAGGAATTCACAGCTATAGTAGGAAACTTCATGTCTCCTGAGCTATCATCGTCAGCTTTAAATTAGTTTTTTATTTTCACTTTTGATGAAATTGTGGTTGCTCAGTAAATAAGTGCAGTTTAAGAATAACTGGGCATCTTGAAGCTCTACACATCATTCACAGTGAAAGTGGTGAGAAAAGGTGGCCTGTGTTCAAAGAAATACACTTGCACAAATTGGAAAAGTCAATAATTGCTAGATGTTGTAAAGCTATCCAAATGTAAGTGAAGTTCACACCATGGAAAGTAATTTTCCAGCAGGTGACAAAGTGGTTCTGCTATGCTGATATTTGTGTAGAATCAAAATTCAGTGGCAACTGACAACCGTAGGGAGAGTTGAGTATATATCTTTTTTGTTTTTGTAACAGGGACATCAAAAATTGTATGTACTTCACTTAAATTGAGGTGAATTTCTGCAGACTTGATGCAGCAATCTTAGAATGTTTACAGATTTATTCCAATTATATTTTATGTCCCGTAGTAGGAAGATGTTTCAGAAAAGAGAGACAATTACCATGTTGGGAAATGTGAAATTGGTTTAATGGGTCTTTACAAATTTGATTTTTTTTTTTGTTATCTTATATTTTGGGAATAGCCTTAGAAATGTTTTCTGGGTCTTGTGTCTGAATTTCCAATCTTCAGAAATCATTTATCATTCAGTTTTCTGTAGTGCTTTCACAGAAAGAAAGTGTAAATAAATCTCTAGAAACTGTTTTCAGACCAGTGCTGACAAATGCTTCCCCCTGACTTCTCAGTAAAAATGATGCAGACTTCCTAAGTGATCTCAATCCATTATTTGAAAAGAGATAAGTTTTAATCCACTTCTGGGAGGAATGGAAATATTGTCATGATGCAAAAGATAGAAATATAGTGAAGTGATACAGTCACTAAAAGAAAAAAAGCTGCCTACAGGGACATTTGTGCTTGCGGTGTACCCAGCACTCTGGAAGTCAGTTTCTTAATTAATTCAGCAGCATGTGGCAGTTCAGCCCCTAAGAAGGCTGACTGTGAATTTTTATCTGACAAAATAAACCCAGAGGTTGCTTCACTGTTCTTGAAGAAAAATAAGGTTTGAGGACTCATTGCATTCTTAAGGAGATCTGAAAAATTCCAGGTTGGAACTACCGAAGTGACAGCCAGTTTCACTCAGTGTGCTTCGTCGATGACTGGCATAATAAATTGAATCCCAATTTTATTTTTTATAAATTCTCACAAGTTATTTGTGATCTGTGACATCACAGCTCTATATAGATTTCCTTAATAAATAGCAAATGTTTTTAATAGAAAATGCTGCCATGTTTAGCTCTCTGGAGAGTATCAGAGCCACCAGCTGCAAAATATGATTAGCTTTTTTGCATTTCATAACAGATATGCATTTTTCTATATCAACAGTGACAACTGAAAATGGCTTATGCACGCTCTTCCTAGGACACAACTCTTTCTCCTAAATCACAGTAAGTACATTTGATTTATATTTCACTGGACCAAGGACCATTGTAGACCTTGCCTCCTCCAGCTCCCCAGTTGTAGGCCCATGCCTTGGTTCTCAAAAACCTTGTCTTTCAAAGAGTGGTGCTAATTTGGAACCAGACAGAGTACAGGAATCAATGTTAGAAGATGCTTCTAGGGTCACTGTCAGCAAAACTGCACTGCAGATATGACATTCCTGGTGAAATAATATCTTCTCAAAATCAAACTCAATGGAACTACTTAGACATTCTCTTTGCAAGAAGGTCCCCTGTTCTCACATAAAATTATATAGTCTGTTTAATTAAAATAGTTACTTCATTCTTTCGAGGGACATTAAATAAGTCTTCTAATTATTTATTATGGAATAAAAATATAGTAAAACAAAAACCTTTCTGCAATGCTGATCAAGTAACAAATATTTTTAAATATGCAAAATAACACTTAAAATATAAAGTAGAATATAATAAGTGGCATTACAGAAGTATTAGAAGTTCCATGAATAGCTCAGGAAGAAAGAAGGAATCTTGGGGCCTTGCAAGAAGTAAGAAATTGCATTGAATCTGCCCTTGAAGATTCAGAAAAAGGCATTCCAGGCCCAGTTAATAAATTAAAATACAGGCTTCTATACCAGAAAAGGGAAAATACGGGGTGATTTAAACTATGCTTGTTTAGCACATAGGGTGTATATCACGGAGGAATGTAAAGGGAAAGTTAATGTCAGACCGTCAGGAACAGTACGAGAACCTTGGGCTTGATAAGGAATGAAAATTCACTGTATATGTATATATGTATAGACATATGTCTTGTGTTTGATGAAGACATTTGATAAAGGTTACAACATAAAGAATATTAATTTGATAAATACTGAGAGTAAAATAAGTAAGAGGATACAGGTGGGAGCATATTGAGGAAGCTATTAGATAACAGTGGTGATAATACTAACGATCTAACTAAAATACTAATTGAATTGGGAAGAAAAAGGGTAAAAGAGGCATAATTGACATAGAAAGACAGGAGATAAAGTATATGTTTGATGAAGAGGGAATACTGAAATATTATTCAAAGATTGATCATTTATCTGTTCTGCATTTAATCATCTATCACATTTTTAAAAATATAAAACTTTTCAATATAAGACTATGGGTCCCTAAAGAGAAATCCATATATGTAATGAGACTAGAAAGAATGTTGTCTAAATACTGTGTTACTAGATAGTATTCTTCCTCATTATTGACTAAATCATTAGAATTAGATTGTACATATGGATATCACCACCAGAGCAAAATACAAAAGTTTTCTTCTATGAATTAATCACATCCACTGCTTCCAATTTTAAAATCAGTAGTGAAATGATATGGGAATAGTCAACCTTCCCTAAGTCAGCAACAGTATTTGAATCAGAAAATTGACATCACCTGATTAATAGAGTCAAGGACTGCTATACTCGCACATTTAACACATATATTCAAGCGCTCGATGTCAATGGTGGAAAAAAAATATTGACCTAACTGCCCTCTTTTTTTTTCTAATTACCATTCTCTGGTGACCTTGTTTAGCAAAATCAATGACCTAAGTTTTAACCTTTCAATTCGGATACACCGGGGAAAATGAAAGTAGGTGCCAAAGACATACAGAAGTTTCCAGAAATATAAAATTCATTTTCACCTTGAATTAACAGGAGATGGGGGGGGCATAACCGGTGTGTGACCCCGAGTTAGTGATTTGATATCACCTATCCTGTGCTTTATGAAAATATATTAAGGGATAGCTAGAGTGCTTTACCAACTTCTGAGCAAATAAGAAGGTTCTTGGGAAAGAGTAAGTCAACCTAGTGTTGAAAGCGATTTGAGGTTAATTGCCCTATCTTGAGGCAGAGTTACTACTTCTCCAGCCTCCAGGGCAGAAGTTGAACCATTAATGGAGAAGGAATATTACTCCAGGAAGTCGTATAATGACTCTGCTTGGTAAGCCTGTGATTGTAGGAGCAATGATGTGTTAAATGACGCATAATCCTCCAGAGAGGAAACCCCTGATCCAGAACTCGGTAATGAGAGTTAGAGCAGGGACAGAGCCAACTAAGTGCCCTCTCCTGCCAACATTCCTAATGTTCAGGGAAACTGCAGAAGCAGGTGGTCTTCACCCTGAAAAACTTTCCATAATGAATGAACCACACTCGCCACCCAGGGCATGCAGTGGCTTAGTGGAAGAAATATGTATTGTATAGGGTTCTTTGGAAATTATACATATTAATTTTTGTATTAGTTTTATATATATAAAGTTATATGTATGCACATATACATATATTACATGTATATGAATCGTCATCCAGTGGGAGCAGAAGCCAGTGACATTTGGGATACATGTGAATTTTTGTATAGTTTCATGTTACATACTATTTAATAAGTTTTAAGAGATTTTATTTTGATACACTGCTCTTACTATGTACATGTTGAGTATTATTTAAGTTATTTTGATATACCCAAGGAAGGATCTTCTCAGATTCTCCTGACCAAAGAAATGTGACATCTTATTAATGTTTCTTGAGCACAAGGTGATCACTGTTGCCAAATGATGAAATAAGTGAAATTGATTCCTTATACAGCTACACCACTTACCATTCACAGATATCTCAATGATGACCTGAAATAATGAATTATGACGTTGCTGATATCTTTGATTCCACCATCAATTATTTAGGTCTGTTATAGCTAAATAATCAGAACTCACCATTTGGTGAAAAAATACATATGTATCTGAAGAAATCTACCTTTAAACAGTAGTTTTTATCATACCAAGAAAAATTAATTATATTTTATTTTTCAAATGAACTATTTTGCCAATTAAAATCTTTACCATCCTTGATAAGTGATATCGTATAAACTATTTGCATTTATAAGATATATCAGTGAAATATATTTTATTTTTTAATATAACTTACTTTTGGTATTATTTTTAAAATAATCTATTTTATCATAATGCTATTTATGTGAGAGATTTGTATTTTTTATTACAAATTGCATATTTATTGCTCCTTTATTGCTTAAACATTCCTCCCCTTTTTCATATAGCTGTAATTTTTTCTATCTATTAACACTCACTTTTCTAAAAGCCTTTTTGATATTTCAAACTTCTTAGCTAACTACATTTATTGATATTTGTTATTTTATTGTTTTGTTTTTTGATCCAGTAACTTCTTTTTAAATGTACTCCTAAATATTGTTCATACACTTTACTTTTTATTCTAAATAAACAACAGTTATTAGAAATTTAACATCCCAAGCCATATTGATAGTTCCAGCATTTCTCAAATTTGTTTTGACTGACAAACATTAAAAGGATACAAAAAACTTCTACTTTCTATGTAAAGTGATTTAGTTGATCATGTAACATTATGACAGATTATTACAATTTAAATTAATTAAACTTAAAGTACAAAGATTTAATGTGTGTATACAGATACATACACACACACACACACACACACAGTATTTCTCTTTTTGAAATGTTATTTGTCATACCTGTAACCTATGGATAAAAATTTGAAGCCATTAAAATCCTACGCATACTGTAAAACACTAATGTAGTGATAACATGTTTATTTTAGATGCATAGTTTGAGCCTTTTCAACTTTTTAAATGAATACTAGTGTAAAAAGCAAAACAAAACAAAAAAAGTCAAATGCCATGTAAAAATCAACATCTATCAAATTAGGGAGGTGGTGAATTTTCTCTTTCAAAGCAAGCTTTTGACACTATAAAAATTACCAATGAGTAAATCAATGTCAGAATCCCAGAATTAACCACTATTTAATAACTGAGGAAGTATTGAACATAAAACTATGTTTCTGACATAGTTTCATATATTTGTCTTTAATTCAAAGTGAACCTGAGCTTCTATGGCAATACTTATCAACTTTATTCTGAAAAAATTAAATAATTGAGTCATTAGTGAGCATAAATGGACATTCAATTTTTATAAATTGCTTAAGATTCATGGATACCAAGCAAAACAAATTCCTGGGTAAACAAAAATCCATTCAAGAAATGCCAACTACAAAGCAAACAGCTTTGGTCATGTTTGAACTATTGATATGCAGAGAAAGTAGAACGCATTCTACAAGCTCAGAAGGGAATTGTGTCTTCATAATCCTAATAAGTTCAATGATTTTTATTTTATTTTATGCTCAAACACTGTTCCACAAAGCACAAATTTTAAGGTTTAAAATTCGCATGGAAAATAGATATCCATTACTTTAAAATGTAAAATAATGGGATGACTGATAAAAAATGGGTGACAGCTGGTTGGGAGGAGGACCTGGGTAAAGGGCAAAATGTGCTTATCTGACAAAATGGAAAGTTAAATGATATTATCTAGAAAACAAAAAACATCTTTATTTATAGTTTGGGGGTAAGGCATGTGGAGAAGGGGTGTAATGTAATTGGATTCGGTTTCTGATATTTTCCAGCAGGCAAGTAAAGGACATTTTGCAAAGTCAATACGAAAAGAATTATATCCCAAAATTATATCCCAAAGAGTAATATTAAAGATATTAAGGTAATAAAACAAGTTGAACATGGTGGTTACTGGGAATGAGAGCAGCAGGATGATTGGGTATTTCTCTCTCTCTCTCTCTCAATCTGTGTGTGTAGATTTTTTTTTCAACACCACATAATTACTTTAATCATACATATCTATATATTGTAAAACAAAAAAAAATTAAAGATTGACAGTGTATTTTACCATCAACATCCACCCCATTAACTCTCCAGGCGTGAACCAACTTGCCTGAGATTTAGATGAGCCAAATTCAGGTTCATTCAAGAGTCCCTGTTACATATATCTAGGAAAGGAGTAGTAAAATTTATTTACATGCCTCCCACTTTGTTTACATACCTTTAACATTGATATTCTAATGAAAATGTCACCTTGTTCAAATATGTTGTACCACTTATTAGTTATTTAAATTACGCCACCATATCCTCAG